TTAATGTAATTTAATAATTATCAGAGAAAAGGGGACTTGCATCTCTCTCTCTCTCTCTCTCTCTCGTACGCACGCACACGCACGCGAGAGAAATTCGGGTGCAAATTCGGGAAGCTTCGTCATGTGTGAACATGTTGAAACATATTCTGAAACGACGCCCAAGTTATAATCCGGTAGGGAGGTAACGTAACATTCTCTTAAACCTGTAAACCTGTCACTGAAACTTTGGCAAACTTTGGCAAGGAATATAAATACCTTGGCACGCTTTGTAATACGTGTCATTAAATCGAATCGTTATTAATTCGAGGATTGATTCAACTGTATGAATATATATATATAAATTTCGAGTTAAAATCATCAACGACGGAAAATTAAGACGTTATCATTTAAATTTTATGTTTTCCATGTAAATGGTAGTCGGTTAATATCGTCCAATACCATTTCAAACATCCCTTTAACCTTTAGAGCCCGGAGTTACGCAAATCTTACGTAAAGACCCGAAGCTGGGTCATCGCTAGGATCCTCCATGGATTTGTCTAAGATTTAGCATTCTCGCTGCTAAAATATTTACAGGTACACTGTAATATCGATCAATATTAAACAAACGCAATGTGATGTTTAATACACGGAGCCAAAAATCGGAGGGAGGATCCTTCGGGATATTGACTCTCGACAGAGATAGAAAATTTTCAAAATTCTACACGGACAAAATGATACGTTAAAAGGAACGTAGAAGGGAAAATTTCGCGTTTCTTGGAAAAGTTCGAGAAATTCCGGGATGAAGAAAAATCAAGATCGATCGTAAGTTGAAAGATCGAAAGGGATGCGACATCAAAAAATGTCGAAACGCGAAATTTAATAAATCGAAATTCATAATTAAACGCGTAGAAAGGAAAATTTCGCGTTTCTTGGAAAAGTTGGAGAAATTTCGGGATAATTTCGAAATTTAAATCAAAATCGATCAAAAGTTAAAAATTAAAAGGAACGCGGCATTAAAAAAATATCGAAATACGATTGAATAAATCGGAATTCGTATTTAAAAGCGTAGAAAAGAAAATTTCGCGTTTCTTGGAAAAGTTGGAGAAATTCCGGGCCGATTTCGAAATTTAAATCAAGATCGATCAAAACTTAAAAGATTGAAAGGAACGTGACATCAAAAAAAAAAATGTCAAAACGCGGTTGAATAAATCGGAATTCGCATTTAAACGCGTACGAGAAAGGGAAAAACTCGTGTTTCTTGGAAAAGTTCGAGAAATTTCGGGATGAAGAAAAGTCACGAAATATGCCAATAGGCCTAAAGATCCATCAAAAGTTAAAAATTAAAAGGAACGCGGCATTAAAAAAATATCGAAATGCGATTGAATAAATCGGAATTCGTATTTAAACGCGTAGAAAAGAAAACTTCACGTTTCTTGGAAAAGTTGGAGAAATTCCGATTCGAAATTTAAATCAAAATCGATCGAAAATCAAAAGACTGAAAGAGACGTGATATCAAAAAAATATCGAAACGCGTAGAAAAGAAAATTTCGCGTTTCTTGGAAAAGTTGGAGAAATTCCGATTCGAAATTTAAATCAAAATCGATCGAAAGTCAAAAGACTGGAAGGAACGTGGCATCAAAAAAATGTCGAAACGCGGTCGAATAAATCGTAATTAAACGCGTAGAGAGAAAGAGAAAAACTCGCGTTTCTTGGAAAAGTTGGAGAAATTTCGGGCCGATTTCGAAATTTAAATCAAGATCGATCGAAAGTTGAAACACTGAAAGCGACGCGACATCAAAAAGAAAAAAAAAAAAATGTCGAAACGCGGTCGAATAAATCGGAATTGGAAGGGCGCAGGTGCCATTAATAGCGGGTGTTACGGTTACGTCTCGGCCGGTTGGAAGACACTACGTCACAGAAAACGGGACACACGCCGGGGAAAGTTGGGAACGCAATACGTACGTACGTGGTGGTGATAGTGGCGTTGTCGTCGGGAGATCTGTCTGATTAGTGGCGGCTGGTTATTCGGTTGATTTATCTTGGGAGGTGTCCCAACCGGCGAAAGCGCAAGTTGACGGAAAGTATAGAGAGATCCGGTGGACAGGTGGAACTAGTCCAGGACTCTCGGATGCAGATATCAAACCCCCGCGCCTGTAAATCTGCCAGCTGGGCCGGTGTGAAACGGCGGCGGGTCGGATTAGGAGGCAGAGGTCGAGAGGGGCGGCCGACCACCGGCCAGTCGGAAGCGCGCCATGAACTATTGCATTTGATATCCAACCCGATGAATGGAAACGGTGAAGCCGTATCCACTCGCTTGGCGCCATCTCTGCCCACCACCGTGTGTGCGCGAATGCAGGTATAATATCCCTCCGTGCTTCCGCCAACTATGATAACCAAGTATTTACGGCTTCTCTTGCGAATTTCTGTAATTTACAACCACGGCCCTCCTCCACTATGCGTCACTTGATATTTTTATCGACAACCAACCTCCTTATCCGTAATTGCTCATGACCGGCCCTTTCATCGAAATTTAAACGATCTAGAATAGAGGCTAATCTTTATATATATTGATGGGTGTAAATGGCGGATGCCTTGGATTTTCAAGTTTAATTTCTTCGAGTTTAAATAATACAGCAAAGGTATAACAGTTTTGTTTAAATATTTTATTCCTCCGTTTTTTATTCGATAAAGTGTACTTGAAATGATAATTCGTAACGAATTTGAAATTTTGAAGCTTGTTTAAAATTTTAAAAAATTCACGCGCGCGACGATTCAGATGATGTAAAGTTGCACGCGTCGAGCCATTGAAAATTCGTATTTCCTCCTCTCTCTCTCTCTTTCTCCTCCCCTTCGAATATATCGGATCTAACATCGTATTTATCATTAGCGTAGGAAGTGATACCGGTATCAATAGCAGTGTATTACATATGTCGGCTCGTCAAGTATTACCATGGATCGTGTATTGTACCGTGAATGAAATCGATATCTATTTGGTATTTCCAGGCCAATTTCGGCACGTATCAATTATATGCACAATGAAATATAATACTAGCTAGTTGTCGCGATACTCCTTCCCCTCCCCCTTCTATTGTCGGAAATACACAAGCGGATAATCATTAAGCAGATCATTCGTCAGATTCTACTGGTTGAAAAATTAAATTTCAAGTTAAGAATAATCATTGCTATTGATCATATAGAAAATTGCACTATCATGCATCACTAAATTTGAATCATTCAAGATGCCAAAAAGAAAGGGATGCGAATTTCTATTCTAAAAATTACTAGAACTAAAAGACGCATCCCCTTCGTCGAAATATTCATATTTCAAATTACGAATAATTCTCATTATTGATTATATCAAAAGAAAGAAATTTGCATCATCGTGCATCACCAAATCATTCAAGATCCAAAAAAGAAGGGATGCGAATTTCTATTCTAAAAATTACTAAAACTAAAAGACGCATCCCCTTCGTCGAAATATTCATATTTCAAATTACGAATAATTCTCATTATTGATTATATCAAAAGAAAGAAATTTGCATCATCGTGCATCACCAAATCATTCAAGATCCAAAAAGGAAGGGATGCGAATTTCTATTCTAAAAATTACTAGAACTAAAAAACGCATCTCCTTCGTCGAATAAATATTTCAATTTAAGAATAATCCTCGTTATTGATTATATCAAAAAAAAAAAAAGAAAGTTGCACTATCGTCCACTATCAAATTTGCATCATTCAAGATGCCAAAAAGAAAGGGATGCGAATTACTATTCTAAAAATTACTAGAACTAAAAAAAGGCATCTCCTTCGTCGAATAAATATTTCAATTTAAGAATAATCCTTGCTATTGATCATATCGAAAAAAAGAAAATTGCACTACGTGTTTCATTCAAGATGCCAAAAGATCGAGAGATACGTCTACTCTAAAAATTACTAGAACTAGAAAATCTCCTTCATCGAATGAATATTTCAAGTTAAGAATAACATTTGCTATTGATCATATCGAAAAAAAAAAGAAACTTGCACCATCAAACTTGCATCATTCAAGATGCCAAAAAATCGTCGGGATGCGTCTACTCTAAAAATTACTAGAACTAAAAAACGTATCTCCCCGGCCGAATGATAAATGTTTACCCATCAAAAACAGCAATTTCCATTATCCTTCTCCTTTGAAGTTGGATGCACGAGAATGAAAATATTTGCCAGCCGCCCCTCCCCTTCCCTCCCCAAACCTCCCCAAACCTCCCCAATAGCAGAGCACGCGTGCACGTAAGCGTGGAAAATACGTGATCACATGGTGGTAATCGTGGCACAAAGGGAAGGTAGATACACCCGGAAATACACCCACGGTTGCACATGATTCACCGCGCCGCTCACACGACACGGATACGACTTTAATAAGTCCTCCTTCTCTCCCTCTCCTACTCCATAACAGTCTTCCCCCTCTCTTTTTCTTTTTTCTTCTTCCTCTCTTTTTTGTTTTTTCTTTTCTTTTTCTTTTTTTTCTTTTCTTTTCAACAAGCGGATCACATTTTCCTAACAGGTTGATTTATCGCGAGCCAACGCGAGCTAAAGCTTTCGTTGGTTGTGGTTTGAGGGGGGGAAAGGGGAGGGTGATGCATGCGCGCGCCTCTTTTTCCCTCCACCTCTTTTTCTTCTCTCTCTCTCTCTCTCTCTCTCTCTCTCTCTCTCTCTCTCTCTCTCTCTCTCGTTCTTGTTTTTTCGCTCGGCTCCAAAGCGAAGCCGGCAACAAGGGGACTTGTTCACTTTTCCTTTTCCACCCGCCACTTTTTTTTTCCACGTGGTTAGACCGCGAGCGCGCAGCAAGCAAGCCCCTATTTCGATAGGGGAAGGGACGGTGTCCCGAGGATAGACACTCTTTTTCTTTTCTTCTCTTTCAAAATTGATTGGGAAATCGATGTGCGGGAAGAAACCGGTGTACGAATCGGGTGTTTCTCGCGACGCGAATCGATGGAGATGTGAGACGAGAGTTTTTTCTTCCTCCTCCGATTTTGTTGCAGGTGGCATGGCTGCGCGTGGATACCCAAACGATATTGACGATAGCCAGTCACGTTATCACGAAGAACCATCGAATAGCAGTGTCTCACAGCGATCACCGAACGTGGTTCCTTCATATACGAGAGGTGAAAGAATCCGACAGGGGATGGTACATGTGCCAGATTAACACGGATCCGATGAAGAGTCAAACCGGCTACCTCGAGGTTGTGGGTGAGCTCTCCTTAATTTGAATTGAATATTACACTCTTCTATAATTTTACATTAATTTTTTAATCGTGAACTCGAAGAAACTCGAATGAAACACGAGATGAGAAATCAAAATTTTACAAATTCGAATGAATCCCTTTCGATTCCATTTATTACCGATTTTGGAGAAAGGGATATCTTGAACCGAAGATAATTTCATTTATCCAACGTTTATCATTCCTTTTATCCTATTTGTTTTCTACCTGTTTCCTTCTTTTCTTTTTCGTATAGGAAACTTTTATATCAACAAATATGGAAATGGTAATGAACAATAGGAGGAATTAATTAACGCGCGTATTATTCGTTAAGGTACAAGTTTATAGGAGGAAATTGCGGCTCGTTTGTTCACTCTCCCGGATGAGCTTCTAATATGGAGGCGTGTATCGATTAGCAGATCGAAAGGAGAGGAGAGGACGGTACCGTGCACTTATCAGTAGTATCCGGAGCGGCTATTATAACGATTATGTCACGTGAACGTTGGTGAGCGATATGCGGATGTAATTCGCAATATCTTAATCAAGTCTGACAAGCCGTGAGAATCTGATCCTGTATCCAACCCTATATCCTTCGTCTCTTTGCAAGAGGAGAGGATGATTTGTCGCATCCCCCTGCTTCCATCATCAACGCGCTTCGATAATTTCACGTTCGACGTGACGATATTTTCGCTTCCTTTTTTTTTTTTTTTTTTTTTTTTTTAATTAATTTTCAAACAATTTATCTCTCCTCAACGGGATGATCCCTCTTTGTAACCTGTTGCACTCGATATCACATTTTCGTTCATTTTTTATACATTATTGGAAATTTCATTTGCAAAGGGGGCAAGAGGGGGATAAATTATTCAAAAGAATTGAAATCTCTGTTGTCTTTTTAACCTCGCTCGTTATTATGCATATTTCAAAAGACCGAATTATCGAAAACTTATATTGAAAAGGAGACGGTTTTGGTTTCTTCAAATTTTGCTCCGTAGACAAGGAGCAAATTTAAATTTTAATATTTCCAGGAGAAATATTGAAAGTTATTAATCTCAAATTTTAAATTAGGGGGGCAAGGAAGTTAAATTTTCGAGCCTCGAGTAAAACTCGAGTCATCGTCGTATATATAGACCAACGATGAACGAATCCGGTTAGGTTAAACGAGCATCGTGTTGATGCCGTATCGCAATAATCGTGGTCAAAGATCGCGGGGCTTCATAGCAAGTTTAAACTGGACGACTATATACACGAAAGTCCTCCTCCTCCTCCTCCTCCTCTACTTAATTTGCGAGGCATTAACCTTATTATTATGGAGCAATATAGTCGCGAGTTTGCGAGAAAACGTTGTGTAGGGGTGGTTGCACGCGAGCAATCTTTACAGCCCTTCTCGGAAATGAAACCTCGTGTATGCCCTTTCACCGCCCCACGCCCACCCTTCTTCACCCCGTGTTTCATTCTTTTAATTCCCTTAACCCTCGTGCCACCCCGCCTCCCTTCCCTTCCTGTTCCATTTTTACTGCGCCAACCCCCCTAGGAATCGACCGATTCGATTAGCTAAAAAGTTTCGAAAAAGTTGTGTTTCGATGCGGGAAAAGTGCAAAATACGAGGGAGGGGAGGAGGGAATGAAGCGCGTTTATGGAAAAAATTCGTTCGTTTTTTCGCAGCCATTTTCGCGCCGATTTTTTTAACACATACTCGAGGTGTGTAATCGAGGAAGAATTAACGTGTGAGAAAGAGAGGATGGAATTAATATTTGAGATTTGATTGATACGGTTTAGTATGATTGAGATTGAGATTGAGATTTGTTCAATTTTCTTTTTTTCTTTTTCGTATCGAGTTACAGAACGATTATATATTTTCTTTTACAGGATGGGGTGTTTTTTATCCTATAAGTGTTATTAAAATTTTAACAAACCCATTTTAAACCCTGGGAATTATTTTTAGGTAGTAATAATAATTTTTCGAGCTGTTTAAAATTTCTGCGATAATTAAATTGGCCATTTTATTACAATTTAATACGATTACTCGTTATAAAAGTTTCTCTCGAGTTAATTATATTTTTTTTTATTTTTTTTTATTTTTTTTTTTAGGAGGTTTAATTTAATCATTCGTGAAAATATTGAGTAACGAATAAGTAACGTAATTTTCCCTTTTATTCGCGTATTATTATTATTATTATTATTCCCTTCTTCGACGTGTTTATCTTCGTCTTCCATTTTGATCGATTCATACGTTTCGTTTCGTTGTTAACTTTCGTCTTTTTAAAACAATAGAATTGTAGAAGAAAGATTCTTCGATTTTTCATTTTCCATTTTCTTCACAACGAACAAACACTCGTTCGAAACAAATTCTAATATCTAAGAGTCGTAAATATTAATACAACTATTTTTCCATTTTTCGAAGATTCGACCGTTGAATCCGTGCGTTGTACGAGGGATTCGTACGAGAACGCAGCGTCAACCCCCCCCGCCCCCCCCTTCCTCGTTTTGCTCGTAAGCAGAACTTCGATAGGATCCAATAATTGGAAACGTGAAAACATTTTCCGCCGAGTCATCGAATTATAGACGCTCGCTAGTAGACGCACTTTAATTAAACGCGATTAAGTTAAATCTGCCAGCATAGGCGCACATCATTCTCGAACCGTTGTCGATCGGAATTAAAGAATTATCTTTAGGATCTTATGATATGATATCTCTTATGATAAACCCTTTCGATTTACTCTTTTCCTCTTTGAATTGAATATTTTATGAAAATTCTTTTTCAACCGATCCGATCGATTCCCATCAGGAATCATTTTATGACGATATGCGTTGATCATTTCTCCAGGATTCATCTTGGGTTATTGGAAAATTCTCCAATGATGAAACAAATATTGTTTATCACTCGTTGGCATTTACCTCGTCTGTTCGAAAAGTTGGAAGAACTCTCTCTTTTAGATTCCGTTGCTTCCATTGGCATCGATCATCCTGTATATAAAAGTGTGCTCGCGCTTTTCATGAATAAGGAATGTCTCGATGCATCAAGTTGTGCAGAGTTCAATGGGAATGCGAAAGGAAATTTACACGGAAATTTACACGAGAATTATCGTTATCTCAGTTTAAACGGAAGTTTTTTTCTAAAAAAAATCGTCGCGTCTTTCGAATAATTCGAACGAGATCAGCTTCGAGAGAATATATATATATCTCGTTTAAAATTTAGAAATCAATTTATCACGGGGAGAGATCAAATTCTGACAATGTATCCCGATGTATTCGAAAAGATATTAACACGAACGTCAATCAATTCTTGAAAATCATAAACATATTTTGCTGCTGGGGAGAAAATTGAATTCAAGGCTTGAAACGCGTTAATTTGATGTTATCAATGGACAGTCCTCCCCGTTTATTTAAAAGATAACGCGACACCGTGTTATTTCGGATTCTCTATTCGCGATGTTGCCTCTCATTTCGCGTACGAATGTTTAATATGATTTAAAAAAGCACTGGAACTAGGTTAAAATTAATACGAGAGAGAGAGAGAGAGAGATAGAGAGAGAGGAAATATAAGCGGGCAGAATAAGTTTTGATAAAGTGCGAACGCGAAAAATACGTGTATCGCGGTACACGTATATAATCGATATTTATACAATTCTATTCACGCGTTGACGCAAAAATAATTTTTATCATAAACAGAAAATTCCAACGTGAAATTTATTGTATCGCGAATAACGGGAGGAACGATATATATATATACCCGTAAATATTTTTTTTTTCCCCTCCTTTCCTTCCCCTCCTTCCAATTTTCGTAGTAAAACGGGAGAATTATGGAAAAAAAAAAAACCTTGGAAACAAAAGCGAAAGAAAGTTTTTTTTCGAATAAACACGTAAACGTGTGTGCACGAGGAAAATAAAATAATTACTTTGACACGTGTTACACTTTTTTCTTTTAAAAAAAAAAAAAACGCGAAACAAAAAAAAAACGAGCAAATTTATCAAAGTGCGCGAATTAAATGACAAAAACCGATCGGAAACGGGATAAAATTTATTCCGAGTGTCGAACGCGAGAAATATTTGTTGAAAAAAAAAATAAATAAATAAATAAATAAAATAAACACGAGTGTTAAAGCGTTTTACGATCGTTTGGAGCAACTTAAAAAAAAAGGGAGGGGGGGGGGGAAAAAAAAAAAAGGGAACTCGCTCGGTCAACGTAAAACCGAGAACCAATCCCGTTTAACCCGAAAACCGATTTTCTCCCCGTTAATGTAAATGACTTACTCTCCCCGTTCATTGCGTGTAATGAGTTGCAGCGAAACGTTACGAATGTGGTTTTAACCGCCGCTCAGGGGCATTTAAATTGAACTTTCCCCCCCCTCTGAAAATGGATGCGACGAGACGAGAGACGTCCAGTCGCTCCCTTCGGAGGGATCACTGATCTAAATTTTAGCCCCACCTTATTATCTGCCCGCGAGCTGAAATTTTTTAACTTTTTTTTCGAAGATTAATTCGACGAGATCACGAGCATTTATTTGTATATATATATATATATATATATATCTTTAAGAGCGATTTCTCGAATTAAATCGAATGTTTGTTAACATTTGTTCGGGGCATCTTATGCAAATTGCCCGTCGAGACTTGTTTCGAGACTTGTTTCTTCCCCTCGGATGTGGCTGCGTCGAGAATGAAATACGCGCGCTTATCTTTCGTTTACCGCGAAGAACTCGATGAATTATGCGTATGTTCTTATATAATTGGTTATTTTTAATTGGAGCCGATTGGTGGACAATTTATGAAAAGGTGGGAATCGAGGAAACAAGAAAAGGAAGGAGAAAAGAAATCTTCCGAGGATTCGCGAATGTTAATACGATTCTCTTCCACTTCCCCCCCTCTGGACGGTGTAGATTAAGAGGAGGAAGAAAGAAGGAAAGAAGGTTCACGTGTTCAACGAAGGAAGTCCAGAAAGGGAAGGAATTTTCAATTCGCCCGGCATTGTGAAGCGAAGATTAATTATGG